CTTGTGTAGCAGTATCAAGTTATTTTTAGCATTTCTAACACTCGTAAAGTCCTGCTTTCAATTCATCACTAGCAAGCATCTGTGGAACTATTTGATCTTTAAGACAGCTACCAAAGGAATTTTGCTCCTTTACTCTTTTTAATAATCTTATCTGTCTCTCATTGGCAGTGGTTTATTCTGGTCCCAATTTGTCAAGGACTCATTGACATGGTACAGAACAGTCTTCCAAGGACAGTGTCTTTCTTATTTATTGCCATATTCAAACATCTAGGTTAGGTGCACAGTTGACTGAAGATACATTTATGAAGCCAGTTACCGTAGCTATCTCACATTTTTGCTTTGGTTCTACTAGTGAATGTTTGCTGATAAACACATGTGGTTGCTTCAACTACTTTACATGACTATAAATACGTTATTTCATGGAATCAGGCAAAATCATTTGAGAATAACATGAAATTTCCTTTTGCATTTCTTGTGCTTGTAAACAGCAAACAAATTACATACAACTGCGTCTATGAACCAGTCACCGAAGCCCTCAATGACTTAAATAACTGTGGGAATCACTGCCAATAAAGTAAATATAGTAGAACTTCAAAACCAAAATGCTAGTTTATTTTAAGTATGTTAATTTCAAGGAGCTGCATGTAGACATGGAGATAAGGGAGTAACAAAACTTGTATAAAATTGGTCCCTCATTCATGGATTTAACAACCTAATTCACAAGCTCTAATGTTCCAGCCAAACAGATGTACTAAGTTTATCTCTATAATGGACCATACTGCTTTTTCACAGTTGAATTCCCAGTGCTGTTTTTCCAGAATGTTTTGTAATCACAGATTTTTTTTTAAATCAGGATTAGTAAGCCAATCACATATATTTAACATTTTTCTGCTTTTAGTTGTGCCTGAAATGTTTTTCAGAAATCTATCTGGTAACACTTAAAATGCCTCTTTATCCCTATTCAATCTGTTATAGTGGCTCAAAAGAGTTTTAATTTGGAAATGGCATCCATACTTCTTCTTAAGAGATGATATTTTTATTTTATTGGAAATTACTACTAACTCCAACTCTATTGCCTATGCATGGACAATGCCTTGATTGATTCTCCTTTCCATAGGGTTTATGAGCCTTTCCTTAATTTATTTTTAATCAGAGCACAAAGATGTTCTCAGTATCACTTAATGAATTCACCTTTTCATTGTTAGCAAATGAAAGAATAGCTGCTTTTCAAAGATGAGTTAGTTAATTATACACAATTCAGCATTATCCATCATTATAAATTTGTATAAATGTACTATCAACTTACTGGCTGTGCATCTAATTTAAGGGAGCAGTTGGGATAGAAAAGTTCCTAATCCATTTATAACCATTGATATCTACTGCATGTTTACAGGAGTAGAAAATCATGCTAACCATATGGGTAATTCCTTTTATCTTTTTTTTGTTAGGTATACTCCAAAACTTTTTGAAAGTTGGTTACCTGAAGAAAAAATTCAGATAGTCAATTGATACTCAATGTCAACACCCTCAAAAATAATTCTTCAACCAATAGGAGACCTCATTTATATGTTTCTCTTAGTTTCTTACAAAGTATACTCAATAGAGCAAGCAACTGCCTCTTTGGTTTAACAAATTTCAGGTTAATTTTGTTAAAGATTTTATTTTAGATTACAATCTAATAAGCACAATATTATAGCTAAATCCATATTTGATTTAAGTAATCATTTAGATTTCATTCATTCACTGAGTTAATATACATTTAACTATCTGAAATGTACAAGACACTGAATTATGGGCAAAGGGACTATAAAGATAGATACTGTTGTATCCATTTCATTTGTTTTTAAGACAAATGAAAAAAGAGATAATTGCACCACATTGTTAAGTACTATGATAGCTATACCTTGAGAAGCATAGAAGATAGTCCCTGTCCCAGCAAAGACTTCTTCAAAATGTGAGATCCAAAGGAAGCTCAGGACTTACCATGTGGAAACAGAGTTGCAGTAGAAATTAAACAGGTTGGTTATAAAAGCTTTTCAGGAATTAGAAAGGCAGAAGCAAAAGTGGAGAGGAAGAAATGTCCTGCCTTAAATTTAAGTGTCTAAACACAATGAGTAACTGGACAATTAAATGTGAGGCATGAGTGCTAAGAGATGAGAACTGAGCACTGGACAGGTGCCATGCTCTAAAGTGCTCAAACTGTGGCTACCGAGAAGTCAAGGAAACAGCTGAAGAATGGAAACTATGTGGTCAGCTTCTCATGGCTGTAGGTATATACTCAACTTTGTGTATCATTTATTTGCAGGGGACAACAATGGGAAAAGAAAGAGATGTTATGAGGATTCTGTGCTTCAACTGAGAAATGAGGTAGGCCTAATCTGCTCATGTGAAAAGAGATTCCCACTTTTATTTATTTAATTTTGTTTTCTTGTTTTATTTTTGTTTGTAGTGGCTAAAGTGGTCAAGTACCTGCCTAACAGTATGAGGCCCTGAGTTCAAACCCTGGTACCATCAAAAAAAAAAATGGAAAGAAAAAGAAAAATCAAACAACAAGACAAAATTTAGGCTGGTCACATGCTTAGCAAGTGTGAGGCCCTGAGTTCAAACCCCAGTATCATCCCCCCTGAAAAAAGTAATTCAAAATTGTGAAGTATATGAATAATTTTGTCTATGGCCATACCACCCTGAACACACCCCATCTCATCTAATTTTATTTTTAAAAAATTTTTATTAGTGTATGATATTTATACAGGGAGTTTCAATATGGCTTTTCCATATGCACATATATTGTACCTTGGTTTGGTTCATTCCCCCCATTATTCTACCTCTTTCCCACTTGCCTTCTTAAAATGACTCCGACAGGTTTCAATGTTCTATACTTGACATGTTAGAAAGTACCTCAACCATATTCACCCTCTTCTTTTATTCCGCTCCCTATAGAACCCTCTCCTGTCCTTCATTATTTAAGTTCTTTACATATTGTCTTTAAATGGTACATACACCAGTACTCTGTTTTTTCTTGCATCTTTCTTGTGACTCTGGTTAGTTACCCTGAGAGTTCCTTTCCCCATTCCTTTCCTTAGAGCCTAGTCCTAGGCCTTTTCTGAGCTGGCAGTCCTCAGTAAGGAGTATATGGCTGAGAACAACTACTTCAAATGCTCTAACTCACTTCCATTGGTTCTGACAAATATATCAAACCATTAACCAAGCACTAGAAATGCCCTCTGACTGTTACAAAGATATCACAAGTTTCACATGTATATGTATGAATGTATTGTCTTCTCTATCATACCTGTTCTATTTCCTTTATTTTAGCAAATCAGATTTACATTAATAAACATAACTTCCTTCCAGTAAACACTTTGTCTCCTTTTTCTCCTTCACTCCAACCCCCACACCACTGTATAGTTATTCACCATACCACATTAACTCTTTCCTTAGTATTATGATAGTTTTCCAAATTGTCTCACCTTCTATACTACCTATTTTCAATCTATTTTTCACTCTATATCTGTAATATGTGAACATGCCTTTCCTTGTATACCTTTAAGAAACTAGTCATTTTCAGTTCAAACTCCTAATAACAAATATAGTTTAACCTCATCTCTACTGTTTCCCTCTGCATTGTCTATCTTAATTTCTCTCCCAGTTATTGGTCTTAGTTTCTATCCCAATTACTTATGGCTCCTTTCCTCTACTCTACATAGCTAATTCTTTCTTACATAGTAGTAAATCTAAAAGCCTTCTTTGTCACATAAAGATAAATTGAGCTTCTCTATCTCTATGATGTTTTAACAGCCTGTGCTTATCCCAACCAGAGAATTTTCTATCCATAATTGTAATTCATTGTAGACATGTTTGTTTCTTACTAGGCTTGTGGCTCAATGACAGCAAAGTGTCTCTTGCCCAAACACTATTGAATATTCATGCATATCCAAGGTCTACATAAATAAATAAGGTGTATTAAATATTTATTGAATTAATTTTAATGAGTGGACTAAAAGTGCATTCATTTTGCCTATGACAAGCATGCAGCTACAGTTAACCTTAGTCAAAGTGCTTAATATAGAAAGCAACAGAAAAAATAATGCTTACAAAGATTTAAGGATAGATTTGAAGTGAAGAAGTGAAAATGAGAGCACAGAAAAGCCTTTGATTAGTTAAATGAGAATAGAGAGAATGAAGTTTAATGGCAGGTCCAATGGGAAGTGAGTTTAAGAGTAAGATACTGTTGACATTTCTAAATATTAAGGCAAAAGTGATACATGTCTTTATTGAAACTAATATTTCTGTGCAATGCATGAGCTGAGTTTGCAAGATTATCATTTCCCTTATCATTTAATTCTCTCTGATCGCTGTAGACTTAAAAATAAACTGTATAATATATATTATTCTATTCTGAAACAGTGAGAACCAAAGATTTAACCAGACAAGTTTAAAGAAGAGGGCAAATTGGATATGGATAATAAAGCAAAGACATTCCTTTGAATGTAATGAAATTGTAAGTTAAATAATTGGTAAAGATTATGTATTAAAATGAAAGATAAAACATAAAATTTCTTATAGTCTTAAATTAACCAGTCTTTTCATTGCTAATGACTATTTGTAGTAGATGAAATATTATCTTTGAACAAAGAACAAGTCCTAATATCCCATGTTAAATAATTAAACAGCACTTTCTCTAGTAGCAAGTAATTTCATCACAGTAACACTTTCTCAGGAAGTCAGAGTTTGGGGAGGAAAACCTGATCTTGAGGTTTCTTGTGAATCTTACCTCTGACATTCACTTTTGCCTTTGTTGATGAAACTGAACTTAACTCAAAAGATAATGAGCCATTATTGTTGTTGAAAACCTGCTGTGTTTGAGATCCCCTAGGAGACAATAAGAGATGTGTTTTTCTGAGCATTGCTTTGAGGATCCTTAGAACTCTTATTGATGCCAGACACAGAATCATCTTAAGAGAATGCATGGCATTTGAAACATACATTTCTTTTTTATACTAAAATGCACTTTTCTCCTTACCTTGCTGAACAAAGGATCCATACACAAACCACATGGAGTTGTAGAGTGTAGTAGATGTCATTGATCCCATTTGTAATCGTGGGGGATTAAGCCAGTTCAAGAGGTAGACTAGTAGACCCACCAGAAGGACTGTCCCAGCAATGCAGGCCCACAGAGACAGATCAAATGGTGCAAGACAGGCAAACATATCCACTGTCTTTTCAGCTCTTCCAAGTAAGACTCCTACTGAGTAGTCCATGTAACGTGTTGTGAAGTCCACCACATTCTCACGATCTGGAGTGATGGTTAAAGCAGAAATCCCTATGTCGGCTCTCTGAGGAAGTGAAAGAGAGAGGAATTCATTAATAGTGCAAAAAACAATTTGATGTGTGGCACTTCAGCTTGCCTTGAGGGAAAGAGAACTAGATGCCTCTGGCAGCATCTTCAGACTTTTCATATAAACTGAATACACTGCAGAGACTTCTTATAGACGAGCTATGTGTGAATTTTGCATTTCTTACTGAAAATCTTGCCTCAACAGAGTCAAACAAATTACCTTGTTTATATTATCAGCGCATTTGAAATCAGTGAAGAATACCTCAGACACAGATAACACATGAAGAAATTGTCATTTTTTCCTGAAGTCATTTTATCAAAACCATCATTAACATAGTAGCAAAGGAAAAGCATAGCCTAAGAATTCTAAGAAAATGTTTTCAAGAAATTTAATATGTTTTTAACATGTAAATTATTAGGTAAGTTATTTTAAAACTTCAACATGACATTTCTCCCTTGATTTAAATTTCTTTGCATTAAAAATTACATTGTTGGGCTCTAAACATTGTAGAGCTTGTTAGAGTTTTCACAGTGTTAAGCTATAATGTCATATATCAGAAGTCTCCACCACAATTCTATTGTATGAACTCCAGAAACATTCTACAATTAATGATAAAAAAGGCAGATAATTCTTGGAGTTATGTCAATTCTCAGTTTGTGTCTCTTTAGGTTTTCAGTGATAGCACTCACAACTATGGCACTGCTAGTTCACTTATTTAAAACATCACAGAATTGCAGTAAATCACAGAATAAGTGTATTCACATTTAAACCTATGATATGAGAATACATATTTAAGGATGTGAAAAATGTATTCTATTTGAAATTATGATCTGTGTCTGTGATTAAAGCTGTGGGAAGCTCCTACCAGACAAATACAAACACTAGTAAATTGTATGTTGAACCCTCTTTTTTTATTGTTTTATGAAAAGGCATAGACATTTATTTTATAGCTTTTGGGTACCAAGAAAAAAAAAAAAGACAAGAGAAGTAGTATGCCAAGTGGAATGCTAAAGTAACTTAGATGAATCTAATATCTGAAGTAGAAATACCTTAAAAATATACTAGCTAAAGTTTAATGGCAGTGTGTGTATGTGTGTGTATACCAAGCCCATATTTATTTGTTGTTAGACACAGTGCTAAGTGTTAGGTAAATTTTTATATTTAATTCTTACAATGAAACTATGAATTATGTGTTTTCCCCTTGATTTAAATGGTGGAGAAACTAAAACTTGGAGAGTTTGACTTGTTTGTTTCCAGTTAATAAGTACAGAGGCCAGTGTTGAACCCATGTTTTTCATGCTTCAATGGCTGTACTTTTATGCACATGCACTCATAATTGGTTTACCATTTTACCAAGATATCATTTACTTTCCAAAAGACTTATATTGGAGGAAGTCAAGGTCACTGATACTAGATTTTTTTTCCTTAAAAGACTGAAAATTTGCTTTCAAAAATTGTACTATTTGCATTGCTGCAAAGGCATATTAATGTATGAGCTACCAGTTTATAATCACTAACTGAAAAATATCTCTAGTCCTATCTTTTCTTATCTATTTGTGAAATGAATGTAACTGTTTATTATCATCATTGTGAGATAACTCATTCATCTTGACCTTAATGGTGAAAAAAGTAACCCTCCAAGATGCAATTAAATCTCAGAAAGTACCTGCACTTTCTCCGAACAATAAAGTACTATAAAGCAGTAACTTACTGATGCATTAGTGATGCAAAGTACTTGATGATTCAACCAAAATCAGAAAATTCTACCTAAAGTGGAATTTACTAACAATATGTTGTTTTAATATTTGTAAAACTTTAGTAAATATTTTTAATAAATAATTGGTCCACATTTAAGTAGTTATACATTGGAATAATTACTCTACTGATTTTTAATGAATTTCTACAATGATTTTTCAATTCATTTTTCTCATGAAACCTTTACTCTTACCACTACTCACTAAGCTTTCAGAAAATGACCTCTACTGTTGTTTTACAGAAAGCATATAAAATACAAGACTAAAGTTTACACTTATTTCTACCTCCCCACCTATGGCCCATACCCAACCTAGTCTTTATTTTCTCCTTTTCTACAAAAGGGAGGTATCTAGGTATCTTCCTACCTACCTGAGGCCAACAAGCATCAGTAAATGTATGGAGTCATCGTCTCCATTTCAGATACTTAAACTCCTGTCTCATGTATTCAACCTTCACTTGTGGTCTGCACATTTCCAATTCAAAGATTCTTTAACTCTTTCTCATTAAAATAAAAGCAAAGAAAGAAAAGTCTTTCTCTCTGCTATGACACCTGACTCCCAGTAAATGTCTTCTTCTTTCTCTCCAAGATCTATTTGTTTCTACACATTCCACTCACTCTTAGCACCTCTTTTCCTTTCTTTCTTTTTTTGACTCTTCAGAATCTTTTATTTCCAAATATTCCCAATGCCTACATTGAATTTGTTGCCCCAAAGTGATTAAGAAGGCACTTTCTTACCCATGTATCACATATGAAATAGCACTTCTGAATCTTTTCATTATTAACCCAGATGGATGCAGACCAGTGCTCATCTGATTTGGACTTTTGACAATATTTGACAGTAATGCTTGCTTTTCCCTTGGGTTTTGGAATCTATGTTGATTTTATTCAGCTACATAATTGACATTTCTTTTAAATGTTTCAAGTACATTTTTGATTTGACGTGGCCAGTTCTCTTCCAATGTCTAATGCGTCAATGAATGACTTTTTTTTTGCATAAGTCATCAATTGGCTTTATTACTTCAATAGTCCTATGATACTATCTAATCTATGATTATTGATTTAACCTTATGAAAACCCTAATTTCCACTCTCTACTCTATCTACGTCTGATCATTTTATTCTTGGGCTCTGGTTCTTTATGACTCTGCCTGAAATCTACCTTTCTTCCCCTCCAATCTCATTATTGCAACTGAAGTAATCTTTCTGGGGAGCAGGTTTCATCCCATTGTGCCATACTTTAAAGGGCCTTGATGGATTTGCATTATTCTTGGGGAAAGGATTATGATCTTCATTACAATCTACATAACTTTAGAATGAACTATCCCCATCATGCTTCCATTGACTCATACGGTACCATTTTGTACAATGAGGACTACACTGTACTTCCCAACACTTCTTCCTGATGCATGATTATTATATATGCTGCTCCCATGGTTTGAATTGCCCATCCTGAAACCTCTAAAGGAAATTCAATCAAATTGGCATGTGAGCTCAATTATCACTTCCTCAGGGAAGTTATCCATATCCCCTTTATTTTGCACTAGCAGAAGCCTACATCCCTCAGTTGTAATTTTACACTCATTTGCATAATTTTTTAAATAATGTCTGACAGTTCTACTAAACTACATGCTTCAGGAAGGTAAGGATTATGACTTTTGAGTCATAATATTCCTGATGCCTACCACTGTAGCAAATAATCAGCAAATATTTCCTTCAAATATGAACAAAAGAAGATAGAATCTTCACTATATGCTTGTTAACTTGATTCTTATTAATCTCTCTCTTTGTTAGCATTTCCAAGAAGAAGTTTTTAAATAATAAAAACAAAATGGCAAGATGAAATTTTATAGCTGGGTGCTGGTGGCTTATGTCTGTAATCCTAGATACTCAGGAGGCAGAGATCAAGAGGATTTCAGTTCAAAGCCAGTCCAAGCAAAGTGTTTGCAAGACTCTATCTTGAAAATACCCAACACAAAGCAGGGCTGGTGGAGAGACTCAAGTGGTAGAACACATGCCTAGCAAGCACAGGCCCTGAGTTCAAACCCCAGTATTGACCATCCCCAAATAATGAAATTTTGTAATGCTTTAGAGCAATGATGAAATATTAGGGTCTTGTATAACTACATCAATAATTAAAATGAGTTTCATGGTCAATCAGTATATTTATGTTTATATTATTTGCCATTATCTAACATTGTAAGCATCTACTGCAGTAGGTTTAACATATCACAAACTTTTAATATATGTAAAAAGGTTATTTAAAATTTGATTAAGACTAACACTAAAGCTGAACAAATAAATTCATTTTCAGAACCATTATAATTACACAGTCATAAATAACATTTGCATTCTCTGCTCATGAAGAGAAGATAGATTGGCAATACAATGGGGCATGACTAATAAACCATATAAGCTTGAGTTTTAGAAGAATAATTTTAATGGAAGTTGAAAAACATTCTAAATTCAATTTGAAATGAATTATTAAATAAAACAAGCAAATAAATATTATTAAATAAATAAAGCAAACATCTAAGTTATTTGTTAACAGAGGGCTAGGAACATTTTACCAATAACACTAATATGCATGAGTTTAGTGCTTCCTATATACTGCACACCATGTTATACATTATTTTATTTGTATACAAGAAGTCCAATTGCTTCTTTCCCAGATGAACAATTTACATTTGAAATAGCTTAACTAGTATGAAGCTTTCATTTTGTAAGGAATGAATATCTGCTTCCTTGTACCTAAATGTCTTAGTTTTTTCATCTATACATTGTATTATAAAGCTGAATGGTTCAGTTCTTTGGCAATCTTCAGGAACTCAAATGCCATCTTATACTCAAATTGAGAATATTTTTTAAAAACTGAAAATAATTTTTTTATTCAACCACTTTTTTACAAGATATAACTTCTATAACCCTCAAAATACTGGCCATTCTTGCATGAGCATGGTTTAAATTGCCATGTTTCCCCAAACTATATAGATAATATATTTTAAAATGATATTTGAGACTGAAACATTTTCAGATAAATTACAATATGGTATTATACTAGGCTTAAAATCAAATAAAAATTTTAGGTATTTTAAAATGAAACACTAGGAAAGTAAAAGTCCTCAGTAAGTCCCATGCAATTGTTTTTTGAGAAAATGTTGGATTTTAAATTTGGATGTTAGATTTATAAGTTTAATTTCATTCTTAGGTTTTTTTGCATCCTTCATATCTGTCTTTACATATCA